TTTGGTAAAAAGTGATATTTTCGACTTCTTGTTGAAAACCGCAAGTCCAATTGCTTTGATATTTACATATATAGGTACTACATGTCGACCTCTCTCAGATTTGTTCATTTTGTAATGATATCTTCAATTCTCTAATTTTGGTGAATATTTTTGTAATTTTTGGTAAAAAGTGATATTTTCGACCTCTTGTTGAAAACCGCAAGTCCAATTGCTTTGATATTACATATATAGGTACTACATGTGGACCTCTCTCAGATTTGTTCATTTTGTAATGATATCTTTAATTCTCTAATTTTGGTGAATATTTTTGTAATTTTTGGTAAAAAGTGATATTTTCGACTTCTTGTTGAAAACCGCAAGTCCAATTGCTTTGATATTACATATATAGGTACTACATGTGGACCTCTCTCAGATTTGTTCATTTTCTAATGATATCTTCTGTTCTTTAATTGCCACGTGCATTGCTAACAGCGGAGCTATCTCAGCCGACAGGCTGCTTGTTTTTATATAGAGAACACAAAAGTTGTTCCCGACCTCCCTTTACCGCGTCTCTCGACCTCCCTACACTGCCTTTACCGACCTCCCTGTACCGCCACACTCGACCTCTCGGTACCGCATCTCCCGACCTCCCTGCACAGCCTCTCCAGACCTCCGTGCACCGCCACACCCTACCTCTCGGTACCGCCTCTCCCGACCTCCCATTACCGCATCTCTCGACCTCCCTACACCTCCTCTACCGACCTCCCTGTACCACCACACCCTACCTCTCAGTACTGCCTCTCCTGACCTCCCTGCACCACCTCTCCCGTGCTGAAAATAATGTTAGCTTATGACTGTGAGAAAAATAAGCCCATAATTTAGAAAGTTAATAAATAAAACAATGAATCAACAAATTAGTAACATTGTAGAAACTTTTGTATTTAAATAAGGCCACAGTTTCTATGATTGGTTTGTAAAACGAACCAAATTTCGTTCATATCAAATTCAAATATTGCGCATCACAGTTGAATAATAATTCGCACCATTTTGGCAATACCTGTAGTCATGCATATCATTAACGCTGCTGAGAACACGCTTACACACACAAAAACAACCATGTCAATGCAATCTAAAACAGGAATCATAATACTAGTAATATATGTAAGGGTAGTAAAATACAATAAATTTTATAATTGATATTTCAGGATTGAAAAATCAAAATTCAACTTTAACTATAGCACCACATTAAACCTACTGTATGTAAGCTATAGCAAAACATTAATTCAACAATTTTACC